CAATTGGTCACCTTTCTCTGATCTCTTTATTATTTCTGCTTTATTTTCTATGGTGATGGTTTTTCTCTTCTTTGCTGTATCACCAGCACTTGCCTCTGATTTGTTTATCGGAGGTATCATTGCAGGGTGAAGTGGAGTGGAGTGCGCTCTAGAAGTGAATAACAAGAAGAAAGAAAAGAAAGAAAGTGTAGTAGCCAGCCACTTTATTACCAATTTATTCTAATAAACAAATGACTGTACTGTATAAAAACACCCACTGAGGTAGCAAGATATAAGGCTCATCAGTTGGATATCCCTACTTGTTGTGCATTCTAAGCCCGCAGCAGCATTGGTCCCTGACCCTCAGAGATGCCAAGCAGCATGGTATCCAGTACGAACAACAGCTAAAAGCATAAATTCCAAAAAAGCTTTATTAACCAACTACTGTACAAATCAGGGGTCCTCAAACTTTTTAAACAGGGGGCCAGTTCACTGTCCCTCAGACCGTTGGAGCGACTATAGTTTTAAAAAAAAACTATGAACAAGTGCGGACACAGTACAGGAGATGACCAGAGACTGCGGACACAGTACTGGAGATGACCAGAGACTGCGGACATACTACAGGAGATGACCAGAGACTGCGGACACAGTGCAGAGGAGACGGTCAGAGACTGCGGACATAGTACAGGAGATGACCAGAGACTGCGGACATACAACGGCAGCGGGAATACTGGGCTGGATGCTCCATAAGACGCACAGACATTTCCCCCTAAGTGTGTCTTATGGAGCGAAATAGTGCCCCATCATTGGTGTCAGTGGGAGGAATAGTGCCCCATCATTGGTGTCAGTGGGAAGAATCGTGCCCCATCATTAGTGTCAGTGGGAGGAATAGTGCCCCATCATTGGTGTCAGTGGGAGGAATAGTGTCCCATCATTGGTGTCAGTGGGAGGAATAGTGTCCCATCATTGGTGTCAGTGGGAGGAATAGGGCCCCATCTTTGGTGTCAGTGGGGGGGAATAGTGCCCTGTCATTGGTGTCGGTGGGGGGGATAGTGTCCTAACATTGGTGTCAGTGGGTGGAATAGTACCCCATCATTGGTGTCAGTGGGGGAAGGAATAGTGTTCCATCATTGGTGTCAGTGGGGGGTGGAATAGTGCCCCATTGTTGGTGTCAGTGTGGGGGGGAGAATAGTACCCCATCATTGGTGTCAGTGGGGGAAGGGGATAGTGTCCCAACATTGGTGTCAGTGGGAGGAATAGTACCCCATCATTGGTGTCAGTGGGGGAAGGAATAGTGCCCCATCGTTGGTGTCAGTGGGGGGGAGGAATAGTGCCCCCTCGTTGGTGTCAGTGGGGGGAGGAATAGTGCCCCATCGTTGGTGTCAGTGGGGGGAGGAATAGTGCCCCAGCATTGGTGTCAGTGGGAGGAATAATGCCCCATCATTAGTATCAGTGACACCAATGATGGGGCACTATTCCTCCCACTGACACCAATGACACTTAACTTGCTGACCCCTGTTCCAGCATGGTGCTGCTGCAGCCAGCATACCTGGTTGCAGCAGCACCATCTGCACGGCACACTTACTCGGCGCTCAGCTCTCCTCTTTCATTCACTCTGGCCTCTCCCTCACTCAATGTTCGCGGGGCCGCTCGGCTCTGCCTCCTCGCAGGTGATTGGCCGCCTGTGTGCCTTTCCTGAGCTACAGTTCTGGCGCCCAATCACCGGTGAGGAGGCGGAGCTGAGCGGCAGCGCGAACATCGAGTGACGGATCGTGACTGGATCGTTGTGGGACTGGGACACGGAGCCAGGTAAGATACAGCAGCAGCCCCCTGCCCGCCCCTGTACTTAGTGTCCCTTCCTCATGGCAAATACTCCCCTGCCGGCGGGCCAGTTAAATGTCCTCGGCGGGCCGCATGTGGCCTGCGGGCCGTAGTTTGAGGACCCCTGGTATAAACAGTACAAAAACAGATGGTATAAAAACACACACATGATTGAATGGGAGTTCTTCATAGGCAGCTGACATGAGCTCATGCTGGAACACAGGTGGATGTACTGTACAGTAAGTCCTGCTATGATAGCAGTTACAGGTACAAAGACAGGACATATTCCCAATAGTAGTGGGCACAAAGTAGTGTCATAAATATCACCAGCTTCCACAGGTTCCAGGAGCTTCTGAGATATTCCAGGACCTTGTTGCCATGCAGTGCACAGTACTGTATGGTACCCAGCTAGATGGATGCTCAGTGGTATCAGCATGGGGCACAAGCGACCGTCCGGCAGTGATGTCACGCTACCTCTGTTCATAAGTAGAAGTCTACTTCAGGCAGCACAGTGGCTAAATGGTTAGCACTTCTGCCTGGCAGTACTAGAGTCATTGGTTCAAATCCCAACCACAGCACCACCTACCTGGAGTTTGCATGTTCTCCCTGTGCCTGTGTGGGTTTCCTTCAGGTACTCCAGTTTCCTCCCACACTCCAAAGACATGCTGATAGGTTAATTGGATCTAAATTGGCCCTAGTATGTGTATGTATGAATGTAAGTTAGGGACATTAGATTGTACCCCCCTTGAGGGTTAGGGACTAATGTGAATGTAAAAAATATATATGTAAAAATATTGTGTAAATTGACAGCACTATATAAGTACCTGTAATAAATAAGGAGTCGTTTGCAACTCAGATGTCCTTAACTCAGGGACTGCCTGTATGCACTTGTCGAACAGATGTAATAAAAATCCTTTCAATGATATATTTAACAGGGCAAAAGGAAGCAAATAAGAGAAATTCACTGTTAGAGTTTACATACTGTACACTTTATGAAAGACTGTGACGGCTCTTACAGGGTAACAGGTCTACCTGGCTGCTCTCTTAGGACCAGCAAAGGCAAGGACCTACTACTAGTGGAATGCATGTCTTGTTTTTGTGCCATTTTTTAGTATCCTGCACCCTAAACCCTCTCTTCCAGAATTCAGTTCAGTAATAAAAGATAAAAAGATAATACACCAAGAACTAGACCTGGAGATTCTCCTAGATTGTAAGCTCGGGGCAGGGCCCTCGAACCCCTCGTGTATTGTATTGTTACTGTATTGTCTCATGTTCTGTCCCCCACTATATTGTACAGCGCTGAGCAAACCTTTTGGTGCTATATAAATACTGTATAATAATAATAATAATAATTTTGTAACACCCTAGAGGAGGTGTACTACACTAATATGAGTGCAGCACAGGCAGAAGGCACATAATGTCATCAGCTCACAAGATTTCTGGCAGGATCAAAGTATACATTTTCCTTATGTTGAATAGATATAACTAAAGGCTTTCAATGTTACATTGAAAGACCAAAATGGACCGAATTATTATGGAGCATTCCAAACTTTTCCTAAGAGAAACATTGATGCTGTCATTTCTGCCCTCCTTTCCTTGCCTGGTTATTATACTGACTCAACAGCTTCACTGTCATTTTTTGGGACAGTAGCTGAAGCTAGAGGGTTGACATGACAGAAGCAACTAGCATTTGCGAAATCAGAATTCAGCAAAGACAGTTTCCAAGTTTCTTGCAGCAAAGGCTTATTTTGAAAAAATATTCAGCTGTAAATGAAGAGGATATAGCAAGCTGCATTTTAGTATTTTCTATTTGCCTTGGAAGTATGTTGCTAAGTAAAACAAAACTGAAGAGGATGGACTACTGCGATGGGTCACAAGTCTCTCAACAGCTCAGACAGCAAGCAAGTAGGCCCTCCTTCTCTGCAGTCTCTTAGTTGATTAGCAGACTGATGATGGATCCATATATAAAAAAGAGGAGAAATACCGCTTCGAATAGCATATTTTGCTTTTCCTTTTCACAATAATATTCATGCAGCATGCTTGAAAAGCATTGATAATTATATGTTCCTTGGACAGCATCAACTCTAAATCAGCCCTGAACATGAGAGCCAGTATATTGCAGTTTTAATCAACAGTAATCATTTATTGCCATTATATAAATGTAGGTAGAGAAAACAATATTTTAGATATGGTCCGCTGTCAGGTCTCCTTTTCCTGTTCCAAATGCTGAATCATGATCAGAATCTTCTATGCTTTTCATCCACTGCCTCATGCCTAAAATGAAAATACTAATAATGATAAAGGGAGCAGCACTCAGGGTCTCATAATCAAAATGTATTCCCTTGTTCATTTTTTATTTTGTCAGCGTTTCCAACTGACGTGTGAGGAAGACGCACAAGACAGATCCTTAACAGATGCATTAGGAATTATAATACCATCACAGCTCTAAAAGGCCCATTACATCTGAGGATTACACTACCCGCTGCATTATGCTTTGCGTTAGTAAACATATCCATTCCTTTGTTGTGGTTCACAGTAAGCGTTGGAAGAAGAAATGATCAGTGTCATTTAAGCCCAGGCACAACCCAACCATGAACTGTTTAGTGTATGTTGTAGTATTTTTTCTTGTTTTAAAGTGACCCTGTGCTTTTGCCCAGGAGGAGTAAAGCATTAGGTTTACTCTAACACCAGCCCCCAAAAACTACACATACTAATCTTTCTGTGACTCCTCCAGCACTCTGTTCAGGAGCAAAGAAAGGAGAACTCTATTCGCCAAGCCCAACCCCTGGGAAAACAACCCCACACCATATCTCCCCCTCCACCAAATGTTACACTTGGTACAATGCAGTCAGTCCCATTCTCCTGGCAACTGCCAAACCCAGACACATCCATTGGATTGCCAGACAGAGAAGTGTGATTCATCACTCCAGAGAACACGTCTCCACTGCTCTAGAGCCCAGTGGCAGCATGCTTTACACCACTGCCTCCAACATTTGCTTTGCACTTGGTGATGTAAGGCTTGGATGAAGCTGCTCAGCCATGGAAACCCATTCCATGAAGCTCTCTACCCACTGTTGTGCTAATCTGAAGGCCACATGAAGTTTGGAGGTCTTTAGCTATTGACTCTGCAGACAGTTGGTGACTTCTGCGCACTGTGCGCTTCAACATGCGCTGACCCCCGCTCTGTCATTTTGCATGACAGTTGCTGTTGTTCCCAGTTGCCTCCGCTTTGTTATCATACCACTAACAGTTGACCGTGGAATATTTGGTAGCAAGGAAATTTCATGGATGATCTTATTGCACAGGTGGCAACCTATCACAGTACCACGCTTGAACTCACTGAGCTCCTGAGAGCAATCCATCCTTTCACAAATGTTTGTAGAAGCAGTCTGCATGCCTAGATGCTTGATTTTATACACCTGTGGCCATGGAGGTGTTTGGAACACCTGAATCCAATGGTTTGGAGGGGTGTCCCAATACTTTTGACAATATAGTATATTTTGGAGTAAAATAAAAAAGTACCTCTGTTTTGCTAATGTCTAATATTGAGTTAATCTGTTTTCAGTTATGGGTACTATAAATTGTACATCATACAAATACATAGACAAAAGTGCACTTCCAACAGAGGGGGAAGACCAAATCCATAGCTATACCCATGGTTTTGGATTGGGAAGTCCAACAATTACATAATGTGTGATAGTCAAGTGTCACAAACTTTTGGCATATAATGGAAGAACTTCAAGAGTAAATCAATTTCTATGCACACTGAAGTTTTTTTTGTTTTTTTTTAACAGGAATGTACACTACCAACAATTTGAGTTAAGTTCCATTATGTACTGTACAGTTACATACTTCAGCAGCACATATTCGGCTGTGGAATTGTAATTTTTCTTTTACAATTAGGTTGGCTTACATTTACAATTAGGTTGCTTACAGCAGCATCCCACACTGATTTACTTCAGTTTAAAACAATCTTTTTTGTGCTAGCTTTAGTAGCAACACATGCTTTTTTTTATCAAATGGTACTAGGCCCGGTTTGACTGGTTTATAGAAATTGGCAGGTATTTTGCTGTGGCTGTCCTTGTTCTCACAGCTGCAAAATGATCCTGCTGCTGGACAAATTTGATCAAACGCTTTTAGGAATAAAGAGACCACAGAAAATACAGCAGTGTAAAATTGGCCAGTAGTGATGAGCTGAATTTACCTGGGTTTGGTTTGAGCAGAGTTCAGTGAATATTAGTTAGGTTCAAATACCAGATCCCTACCCCTTTATTATCAATGGAAACCAAACCTGTAAACTCAATAATATCAATAATAGCTATTTTGTTTTGGCTTTTAGACTAGAGCTTGTGGCACGGGGGCTGGGCACTAGCATGGGAGACACATACTAGTGCAAAAATGTTTTTAAGAAATTATATTCATCCAGAAGCAACAATTTTAATAATGCTTAACCCTTTAGCTGCAATTGAATTTTTTGCACACGTTTAAAACTCATTTTAGGCCTGAAGATTAAAACATTATATATTTTCGGAAAGCAGACACTCTAAAGAATTAAATAGTGGCAGTTCCAATTTTTTATGATGCACAATGTTAGCGCAAAGGTCTAGGAAATGCAACATTTTGGCAAAAATTACACTAAAACTAATTTTAGGGCACACAAACGCAGTAAGTTACTAATTTGTTTGGTAAAATATAAAAGATGAGGTTGCACTGAATGACTGCAGGACTTCTCCAGGACTTCCCCCATCCTCTGGAACTCACTACCCCAATCCATCAGACTGTCACCTACCCTCCTCACCTTTAGACGCACCCTGAAAAACCCATCTCTTCAGGGAAGCCTACCCCGCCCTCACCTAACAGCCGATCTCCTCCTACACACTACATCCCCCACAGCCACTTCCTCCTGTACCACTATCCCCTCCCTCCTAGATTGTAAGCTCAAAAAAGCAGAGCCCTTGACCCCCTTGTGTATTGTATTGTTACTGTATTGTCTCATGTTCTGTCCCCCACTATAATGTACAGCGCTGACCAAACCTTTAGCGCTATATAAATACTGTATAATAATAATAAAATAATAATAATACATAACCAACATGTCAAACCTTAAAATTGCATGTGTCCATGAAATGGCAACAAACTTCACTACCCTATATTTTCTATAGGCAATGCTTTAAAGCCCTTACAGGTCATCAGTTTAGCATTACACAGGAGCTCCTGTCCTAGAATCATTGCTCTTACTCCATGTATATTACAACCAACCTTTTTGTGTCTAGGAGCCTCTGAAGCATGTGTTTATGTTCATACATTCATGTATGTGTGGGTGGGGGCCTCAAAACATTTTGGGGGTAGATTTCATGTGCTTGGGTGTAACTTTAATTTTTTTTACAATTTTTAAGAAATGTTGTTATTCACACATTTTTTTTTATCACATAAGGGACAACAAGTCCCCTTTGTAATATTTTTTTGGTGAAAGGTTCTCTTTTTAATGAGACATCCTAGGTCTAAAAGATTCCTGATGTCTCATCTGTGCTCCAATGAATGTAATGCAGTTTAGATCACACTGCGTTAGATTCTTTCCTGGCCAAGCTGGCTGGGAAAATTAAAAGAGGGACCCTGAAACGACATTTTACATATGGGTCAGCAAGAAGAAGGAGGGGAGAGCAGACTTATGTTCACTCAGCTACCTCTCCTCTACCCAGCAGCACCAGCCATGCCGGTCCCAGGCGCTCTGATGAGTGCGCACAGCCCAGGATACATGGCGTGGGTGCTTGAGCAGGGGGGCCTCCGGTACTTGGGGGTTTGGAAGCAATTGGGAAGCTGTGCAGCTGCCTGATTGCTTCCATCTGACAGTGAGAAGTTGGCTTATCAGATATGCACACAATCCTGGTGGCTGCAGCCTCTGTGTGTGTGTGTAAACCCCCCTGCTTTCAGGTCTGTATGACATACAGACCTGACAGCGAAAGGATTAATGTGAAACAATAAAGCAGTATTACACCCAAAAGCAAACATTTATTTTATTGCAACTTACCAATTATTAGATGTGATGACTGCATTAGCTTTTTTTTTTTATTTTTGTTTTCACCCGGTGATCCATGCCAGTAAGTCTGTTGGTTTTCAACAGAACATGCTGTCCTACAGATGTAGCATATATAGGGTTGATACAAAACATTTAATACTTCAAGGGTTTGTTACAATGGTCAGCTTTTATTTATGTAAAATCTTTATCCCAAAAGAAAAGGATCTGTTTGCTGTAGCTGCTTATAAAGTGTTAGCTGAAGTTTGGCTTACATTTTTAGTGTATCTAAATATGCTAGTACATCTAACACTCCCCTCCCCCCAGAATGACAATGCTGCTGTCCACATGTGTATCTGTGTTTCTTCATCCAGAGTGGGGGCATCCTAATTTAGGTGTATTACTGTCCAGATCGCCAAGTGAAAACAGGTAAGGGGGGGATAAAAAAAAAAAGAAATCTAATGCAGGCGATGATATACATGTGAAATAAATTAAACTATGTGCCTTCTCTTAAAGACTTTTATAACAACAAGTTAGATTTTTTTAGACCTCAGTGACATCCATAAATAATACAAAAATGTATCTTGGTAAATTTGTAGTGAATACTGTGGTATATGTTAGCTGCCTCTTTAAATGGTGTGAATACACTCATCAATCAAATGCAAACAAAGAGAAGAACCGGCGCTTACATAAACCAAAAGTGATTAAATACCAATAATCAAAACCAAAATCATATATTCAATAGATCAATTATATAAAAGTCCCACACCATGCAGTGTGCCAACAGAAACTCGTAGTGCTTAGCAATATTCTTCGTGCAAGTTCCTATTTGTGCTCCACCAAAGTGTGTCACTCCAATGCACTAACCAACCAACCATGACCTCTTAATTAAAAGAAGTTCAAATGCGCTTGTTTCTCCAGGGTTTTATAACTCAGTGTGTTTCTTCTCTATATTCTCCAAGTATCATCCCAAAAAGGCAATATCCTTCAGTGACAAATCATCATAAGCCAGAGCAGCAACTTTGTATAAATCCAACGTGCCCAATCTTGGCTGAGGAGGGTGGAGTTGATCAAATTTCATCTCTAAGTGGAGAGCCCCGATACAGCTCTGAGGTAGGTGAGATCATCCAGTGGTAGCTCGGAGCAGTACCTGGGCTACTACACTTCCACGCCGAAGAACTGGACGTCCCTCCAAAACTGATTAAAAGACGAGAAGAAAACTGTTCTGGGAGGCTGCCAAGAGGCCTACAGCAACATTAAAGGAGCTTCAGGAATATCTGGCAAGTACCGGCTGTGTGGTACATGTGACAACAATCTCCCATATTCTTCATATGTCTGGGCTATGGGGTAGAGGGGCAAGATGGAAGCCCTTTCTTACAAAGAAAAACATCCAAGCCCGGCTAAATTTTGCAAAAACATCTGAAGTCTTCCAAAAGCATGTGGGAAAATGTGTTATGGCCTGATGAAACCAAGGTTGAACTTTTTGGCCATAATTCCAAAAGACATGTTTGGTGCAAAAACAACACTGCACATCACCAAAAGAGCACCATACCCACAGTGAAGCATGGGTGGTGGCAGCATCATGCTTTGGGGCTGCTTTTCATCAGCTGGAACTGAGGCCTTGGTCAAGGTAGAGGGAATTATAAACAGTTCCAAATACCAGTCAATATTGGCACAAAACCTTCAGGCTTCTACTTGAAAGCTGAACATGAAGAGGAACTTCATCTTTCAGCATGACAAAGCATACATGCAAATCAACAAAAAGAATGGCTTCACCAGAAGAAGATTAAAGTTTAGGAATGGCCCAGCCAGAGCCCAAACCTGAATCCGATCGAAAATCTGTGGGGCGATCTAAAGAGTGCTGTGCACAGGAGATGCCCTCGCAATCTAAAAGATTTGGAGTGTTTTTGTAAGGAAGAGTGGGCAAATATTGCCAAGCCAAGATGTGCCATGCTGATAGACTCATACCCAAAAGAAGACTGAGTGCTGTAATAAAATCAAAAGGTACTTCAACAAAGTATTAGTTTAAGGGTGTGCACACTTATGCAACCATATTATTTTAGATTTTTATTTTTACTTCCCTCTGCCTAAAAGATTTCGGTTTGTTGTTCAACTGAGTTGAACAGTTTATAGGTTACATTAAAGGTGTAAAAAAGTTCTGAAATGATTTATCTTTGTCTCATTTTTTTACATCAAGGAAACCTGACATTTAAACAGGAGTGTGTAGACTTTTTATACCCACTGTATGTAATGGCTGCATTTTTCTATCCATTGGAACTGTTTTGGGACATGTATTGTTCATCCTAGGTGCCTTTAAAGATCTTTTTGAATTAGAAGGTAGCTTAGCCAATGTTATTGTACTTCATGATATGCACTTACCTTCACACTGAGAATCTAAACCAATTTTGGACCCACAGGCCTGCACCTAGCAATAAAACCCTGACAGGGGCTCAAA